ATTTTTAAGAGGGGTTTTTTAGAGGGGTTTTTAATTACTTTTTAATTAGACAATTTAAATATTTCATTTTAATTAATTTTAACTTGTGATTGTTAGTGGTGTTTTTTAATTGATTGTCAGCCGCCCTGAGTCCGCAAGGAGAAGGGCGGGATATAAATTCAAATAATAAATAAATAAATAAATAAATAAATAAATAAACATTACTTCAGTTTGCATGAGAAAATAATATTGTTAAAACTCAAGGATCTGTTGGTAAATGAATATTTGAAGATATTTTTACAAAGTTTTTGATATAAATTGGTTGTTCTCAAAAAAGTTATGATAAAAATGCTTTCTCTGAAAAATACTTTTGTTACTTTTAATACTTTTATGATGCATAAACTGCCTCTGTACTGTATTTTACTATGATACAACAACTGTAACATAGGTACAAAATTTTACTCTTTGATAGAAGGTTCTTCCTCTGTTTTTAATCATCATGTATAATCCTCATTCCTTCCACAAAAATATTTTTCATCTAGTTCTACAGAAAAATAGATAAGATGGCCCATGACAAAGATAGTAATATATATGCACATATAATTATCCAGAATCTCATCTGTTTTTACATTTTAAAATCTAGTATTTTAAGCATTTTTAAAAAGTGTTGAATTTTTGCTACAAATTCATTCTCATCCAGGTTTTCTCTATGTAATTAATATAATATTCCCTTTATTTGATAGTCTTATTACCTTGAAGCTAGATATTGAAGTGGTCTTATTTGCATTTGCAAGAGTTTGATTCACCCATTTAACAATAGTTTCATCATTTACTTTCTCCCCTTCTCCAAGGTCTGATAGTACATTCAGAGTAAACCTGTAATAGATAGTATATGTAACTGGTAAGAATGTTCCTTGATTTATGACCATTCAAAGTTACAACAGTGTTTAAAAAGTGACTTACAATTGGTCCTTGCACTTACAAGTGTTACAGCATCTCCATGATCTTGTGGGAGATGCTAGTATGCAGATGCAAACTCAAAGTTGCTTGGACTGATGGAGGAGTCCTGTGCTGATGGGCAGAAGGAATTATGGAGAAAGATGGAAATAAACTCTTGTAGTGTATGTGGGACTGGAAATTCACTGCCAATCTCTTTCACCCAATCTTTTCCTCAGATCTCAACTTTCTCCTCCATTTTATCTAGCATTTATTTAAATGCTGGGAAAATACTAATGTGGAGTACAGTATGCAGATGGTAGCAGTTCTGCATATATATCCAAAAATTTTGAGCAAAATATTTCAACATTGGACATACTGAAGGATATTTTTGAACAGTGGGTCCCAAAATTAATTTTAACAGTGTCTGCCTCTATAGATTGTGTTTAAAAGATGGTATGAAAGAACAAGTGTTACCTGACAAGAGTCAGACTATCTGAAAGTGAATCTAAAAATGACAAGCTACAAGAATGACATGGGAAAAGATGTAACACTGGACATATAAAAGTAACTGGCTGATGTCTTGATGATTAAAGGAATATACAAATTACAAACCAACAGATTGACCTGAATAATTTTCCAATATTGGATTTCCAAAAGAGTCTTGTTAAAGTTTTCAGGAATTTTGTGAGAAAGGACAAAGAAAAATGAAAAGAAATAAAGTTCTAGGACATTATTTAAAGGCACCAAAAATCAAGATTGTTAAAAAGAAAAAAAGAATATAAAGTTGGTTTATTTAATCAAGATTAAAATAGATATGTTATATCTGGTAGCTCTTTTACTGACATCAAGACTGAAATGATGAAGCTCAAGGATTTATTTATAGGTAAGAGATGGGATATGGGAAGAAGAGATAATTAGTTGTATTTTTAAAAAAGGTGGTAAGTTACTAAAATTGTTTATACTTGTTTTGATGAAGGAGGAAATTACATATATATTTCTTTTCTCTCTCTCCTATATTCGTATGCAGAATATTTTTCCTTTTCTGTTTTTTTCTATTTTTCTTTTTAGCACTTTCTATTTTTATTTTTTCTTTAGTTTGTATTAGTTTTATTATTGCAAATGTAATTATTAAAACAGTTACTATATACAAAGACAGAATCTGCTATTAAGTTGTGTCTACTAAGATTGTTTGCTGAGATAGACTACTATGTGTAAATTGTGATAATTGGGGAGGGAAGAATTTTCAGCAGGAGCTCTTTTATATAAAGTCTTTGAAAACTTTTACATGGTCAAGAAATCCAGGCTCTGATATCAGAGAATTGCCCCAAGATTCTGAGGCAGATCAATTCTCCCTGAAGGCTATCTCTGATTTATATCAAAGCCAGGTAGAAGATAGCTCTAAGGGACCCAATGGTGTGGAATGGGAGAAAGATAACTTGGTGTGTGTGTGTGTGTGCTGCAGCATCCCTGCAGTTGGTTGTAAAGATGAATTTTGTTCATGTGATCATAGGGGTGCTACATCGGGTACAAATGGTAAGTCCTTTTATTCAGTGCCATTTTAATTTAGAACAATGCTATAAGTTGTTGACTACCTGTAGTGACAGCACTGGAGTGCCCACAATTTTGCCACATTTCAATCCCACAGCAATCATGTGTCCTAGATTTTGGAGGAATTTTTAAGTTAGACCATTTGAACTACACTGATTCAAAAATTATTGCCCTATGATGCACCATTTGCCCAACTGAAGATTACAAACAATTAAACAGACATGAGAATTTTAGCAGTATATAGATATATGTATGGTTTTCTAGGTTGCAACTATTTTTACAAACTTATAACTCCTTTGTAACATGGCAGACATGCAAAGCAGCGTACTGCAGATTTATTGTACATTTTGAAAAAGGCATAAATGATAAAAAAGTGGGGGGGAAACCTAGAGTTATCATCTGGATTTTAAACTGCTGGTTGAATAAATGAAGAACACTTATAGAAAAAGTTCTGGTCTAGTGGTTAAGGGCTTAGGATAAAAACCAGGAGACTGCGAGTTCTAGTCCTGCCTTGGGCATGAAAGCCTGGGGGACTTTGGGCCAGTCATGCTTTCTCAGCCCAACCTACCACATAGATCTGGGTTTTTTTTCTTTTGTGGGAAAAAATAGGAAAAGGAAGGAGTATTAGGTATGTTCACCACTTTTGAGTTATTTATAAAAATAATAAAGGCTGGATATAAATACAGCCTAGTTAAGCCACTGGATTTAGTGAGATGTAAGAAAGCCTCACCTTCTCATTAATTGCCAGACTAGTGCCAAGGTCAAGGTTGAGTTGCCTTCGTTGAGATCTTTTCCACCAATTCCAACCAATGAAAATCTGGCCTTTGTCTTTCCCAGTTCTACTGCATAGTTACAATTTTCAATCTAAAAACATTTGATTATAGATACAAATCATAGTTATTATCCAGATTTTTTAAAAGCAGATATTTTGACCTAAAACTTTTTGAAGGAAAAAAAATACCTCAAGGAATGCACATTTTTACTTTCTTTAATGTATTCAGTTAGAAAACATTTTGAATAAGGTATCATTTGGATTTGCCAAACATATAGGAAGTCCCACAGGGAGACATTAGTATTTAGTTTCTAATTAATTCTTTAGATTAAATTGCTATATTTTGTTATGCAAGTCTGCCCTCACATTTGCTATGTCTCAGAAATCCAAATGATTTAAGTTTACATTAAAGTAGAGGCATGTTTCTGCTGCGGAATGCATAAAAAATCTATATTTCCCAAAGATATCCTATTTGAAAATAATAAATTTGGCATGTGACATTATTAAGTAAGATGTTCAAAACCGGCGATGAATATGTACGATTGGCAATTGCTCTTTAGCTTTCCTGTAAGGTTTTTAAATGATTATGAAAAATAGTGGAAACGTTGCCAGAGCTCTGGTTTGCCTGTAGACTTTTTAACAGTATATATTTGCATTATGATATGCTAATAAAGAAAATCCCAGCACTGTATGTGAACAATATATAAAATACTTTGTTATTGATCAAAGAGTAATTTAAGCTTCTCTTTTTTAATCTTATTTATGGCTATGTAGATTATATCCTGAGATCTCTCATCAGTCAGCCACCTGATGTTGTATCACTAAACATGTCTTTACTGTACACTGCTTTTGCTGAAATCCATGTTATTAGTGGTGGTGGTGGTGGTGGTCTATTGTTTATATGTCAATGCTTGGATATTAGCCAAATAGTAACATGGAAGGTACTTCAGTGCTTAGTTTCAAAATTAAGTTACAAATTTCTACTTGGCTTTGTGAATCACAAATAGAACCATAAAAATTATCAGTAGATATATTAATTTATACATATGCTATCTATCTCTACTATGTTTGCTTGTAACTGAGATAGATGAATATAAATTAGTGGTGATTATATAGGTACCAGAGTTCCTAACACAGAAATATTTACCAACCTTTTTCATGTTACCCCCAAGTGCAGGATATGGTGGTTTGTTGACATGACTCCATTCTACAGGTACACGGACCATTTCATAGAGTTGAAAGATTACTAAACCATCAGCAAGATCACTGGCAAGGTGAGGGAGAAAAAAAGTTCTTCTGATTAAAAGCAAAACAATTATCCTTTAATTAATCAGAAAACAGATATTTTCACTGCTTCTATGTTTTTGAAATTTCCCATTTAAATTATTCATTAAAACCATTACAACTCACAAGACTATTTTAATTATTGTGATTGGTTGCAGTCAGCCAGATGTTTACACTGGATTTGGCATTTTATCCACCTATCAAGTCCTTCCCAGGGACATGGGATAGGCAGATGTGGATGTTTAACGGTTTTAGTGGTATCATTGCATGATGTAAGCTGTTCCAAGTAAAACTGCCTTTTGCAATTGACTGATGAGGAATTTGTCAATGCTGATGGTGTTTGTCAATGCTGATGGTGTTCAAGGCTGTGGCTACCGGCGCCTCGGCATAGTCAGCTGACTCCATCGCTGACTATAGGGGGCGAAACTTTGGCCCCCTCGGATAGGGTGCGCAATCTGGGTGTCCTCCTGGATTCACGGCTGACACTGGATGATCAGTTGGCGGCCGTGACCAGGGGGGCGTTTTATGAGGTCCGCCTGATTCACCAGTTGCGGCCTTTTCTGGACCGGGACGCCTTGCGCACAGTCACTCATGCTCTGGTCACCTCCCGCCTGGACTACTGTAACGCTCTCTACATGGGGCTTCCCTTGAGGAGCACCCGGAGGCTCCAGCTAGTCCAAAATGCGGCCGCGCGGGCGGTGCTGGGAGGGACTCGTCGCTCCCACGTAACACCGCTGCTGCGCGAGCTGCATTGGCTGCCGGTGGCCTTCCGGGTGC